TGCGGTGGCCTGGAGCGGCCATTGCACTCCATTCTGGGCGACAGAGTGAGACTCCAACTCAAAAAAAAAAAAAAAAAAGGATTATCTTGATGACTGAGATTTTCAGCACTGCTTTCAATTTTGCACCAAGGAAAATGCCTCACCCTAGTCCCTGCCTCAGTGGACACTCAGCCCACAACCTCCGCGTGGTTCTACCAGGCAGAGCCCCCATCCCCAAATCCCTGGAGACTCAGGCTTGGAGGAGGATGTTGTCTCTCACTCCCCTGGGGAGAGGGTTCCCAAAAAAGAGAACACCTGTCACCTGAGCAGGCCCTGCTGGTGACCCCCAGGGGAATTCCAGTCCTGGCTCAGTCTGGGCATTCCCTGGCCCCCCTGGGGCCGCCCTATGCTGAGTCCCCAGTCTGGTGGGTCTCCCAGAAACTCCCCGGGCTGGTTTTGGCATGGGAGGCCCACAAGGAAGCAATTTACATACACGTCAGCCTGCCTCGCCTGATGCTGGAATAAAGGGGAGACAGGCCTGCTCCACAGGACTCAGCCACCAGTCCCCAGGGAAGAGGAAGGACCCCCTCGCTGTCAATTCAGGTGAGTCTAGAAGCCAGCTCCTGGAACAAAGCCAGGGTCCCCAACACCCAGGCCCAACCCCTGCTCTCAGCTACCTCTGATGGTTTGGGATCAGGTGGCATCTCCCGGTCCTTGTGGGCTCGGTGCAGGCCTCAGCAAAACATTCTGTGGCCCCTGCACCCATGCTCTGCCTACACCTGAATTGTTGCTCATAAAAAGAAAAAAGCCGAGGTGGTGCCAAGGTCAGGCCTCTCCTCTCTCCTCCCTCAGCACATCCAGTCTTACCAGTCAAACGGCAGGCAGCTGAGAGTCCCCTCTGGTGGCCAGCAGCAGCCACAGAGCGGTGGCTGTGGGGGTGGGGTGGGGCTTGGCTTGCTGGGTTGGCCTCAGTCTACCTCTCTGGAGAATGAGCAGGGTTTGTTGGAGTCTGAACCACCAGGCCTCCAGGCCCTTCCTGGAATGGGCCTTGTTTACTGACCAATGATCTCAGCCTGGGAGGGACAGGCTAGGCCGGGGGAGAACTTGAAGCCTAGATGACCTTGACCCAGGGCACTCTGTTCCATATCCTCTGCTCCCCGCAACCCATCCCCAACCCCTGGCCTGCCTCCCGCCCACAACACTGTGAGAGGCCGCGCTGTCATTTATTGCCGGACGTTGACAGTGGCCAAAGGTTCTGCTCAGTTCTCCATGCCTGTTTCCTTCTAGCACTGCTGAGGTTCTCTGCTGAGGTCAACTCAGCTGGGAGCTAGAATCCCACAGTGTGTCCGCTGGGAACTGGAATCCCACAGTGATGGCCCAGCATGTCCTCTGGATCCTGCTCGGATTGCTGCTGCTTTTGGAGCCAGGGACAGGTACGTTGGAGGGCAGAGGCCTGGAACCAAGACTCCCAGCTCTACAGACCTGTGTGCTGCCCTCTCTGTGCCCAGCCCTGTAGGGGGCGAGGCTGGAGACCCTGGTTCTCAAGGAACTTCGAATCTGGGAATGTAGATGCTCCCAACCCCACAGTCAGGGCAGGGATGGAGGGAAGGGCCTGAGACCAGGGTGGCAAAAATAGGGAAGGCTTCCTAGAGGAAGAGACATAGACAGGAGCTAAGACAGGAAGAAAAAATAAGAACTGTGTTTCACAGAGGTGCAGAAAAGGGCATTTTAGGCAGAAAAGAATGAAGCTGTAGAGAAATTACAGTGTGGACTGTCTGGAGAAGAAACTGGATTCTGGACAGCAGAATGCAGAAATCAAGACTTCCTGGGTTCATATCCTGCCTCTATCACTTCCTTGTTGTGTGACCTTAGGCAGGTAATTTAACCTCTCTGTGCTGTGTGACCTTAAACAGGTTATTTAACCTCTCTGTGTGACCTTAAGCAGGTAATTTAACCTCTCTGTGCCCCAGGTGCTTCATCTGTAAAAGGGAGCTGTCTTAGTCTGTCTGCGCTTCTTTTTTTTTTTTTTAGCTGGAGTCTCACTCCATCTCCCAGATTGGAGTGCAGTGGCCGCTCCCGGCCACCACAGCCTCGACCTGCTGGGCTCCAGCGATACCTCCGCCTCAGCCTTCCAAGTAGCCGGAACTACAGGCGCGTGCTACCACGCCTGGCTAATTTTTTGATATATTGTAGAGACGAGGTCTCGCCAAATTGCCCAGGCGGGTCTCAAACCTGCACGTTCAGGCAATCCACTCGCCTCGGCCACCCAAAGTGTTGGGATTACAGGCTAAGCCACCAAGCCCGGCCAGTATGTCTATACTTCTATACCAGAATACCTGAGACTGAGTAATTTGGAAAGACCAAACGTTTATTTTCTTACAGTTCTGAAGGCTGGGAAGTCCCAGATGCCAGCACCTTGATCTTGGGCTTTCCAGATCTCTTCCCATTCCCTGCTCTTAGTTACCTTTGGTGGTTTGGGATCAGGGGCTGAAACTGGGTGAGAGGTGACATGTCCTGGTCCCTTCAGTCTTAGAGCAGGCCTCAGCAAAAACAGTCTGTGGTCCCTGCTCCCATGCTCTGCCTGCATCTGAATTGTTGGCCAAAAAAAAGGCCAGGCACAGTGGCTTATGCCTATAATCTCAGCACTTTGGGAGGCGGAGGCAAGAGGATTACCTGAGTTCAGGGGTTTGAGACCAGCTTGAGCAACACAGCGAGAACTTCTCTCTATAATAAATACAAAAAATTGGCCGGGCTCGGTGGCTCAGCCTGTAATCCCAGCACTTTGGGAGGCCGAGGCGAGTGGATTGCCTTAGCCTGCAGGTTCAAGACTAGCCCAGGCAACTTGGCAAGACCTCATATCTACAAAAAATAAAAAATTAGCCGGGTGTGGTAGTGTGTGCCTGTAGTTTGGCTACTTGTAAGGCTGAGGTGGAAGGATCACGAGTCCAGCAGGTTGATGCTGGGGTGGCCATGAGTGTGCCACTGCCCTCCAGCCTGGGCGACGGAGTGAGACTCCAATTCAAAAAAAAAGCACACACACACACACACACAAATTTAGCCGGGCATAGTGGTGCATGCCTGTATTTCCAGCTACTTGAAAGACTGAACAGAAGGATCACCTGAGCCCAGCAGGTTGAGGCTGCAGTGGCCATGAGTATCCCACCGCACTCCAGCCTGGGAGACAGAGTGAGACTGCAACTGGAAAAAAAAAAAAAGCAGGAGGCAATACCAAGATCAGGCCTCTCCTGACCTAGAATTGGTGAGAGATAAATTTCTGTTCTCTATACAATTACCCAGTCTTAGATATTCTGTTATAGCAGCACAAGAGGACTAAGACGGGAACTAACAGGACCTACCTCACAGTAATTGTGAGGATGAAATGAATTAAGTGATACCTGGCAGATAGCAAATGTTTACTGGACCTTAGCTAGTGTTTAACAGCCCATTCACCGGGCCCTGAGCCAGGTAACCCAGCACGTCTAGGTTCTAGGTTCAGCCACGACATTTCCCCCATGTGGCACAAGCCCATTCTGTCCCTCCCCATGGGCACCCTTCCAGATACCCTTCCCTCTCACATCCACCTACTCCAATCCATCACCACAAACTGTCCACCTTTCCCCTCTCAAGATCTGGGGACTAGCCGGGTGCGGTGGCTCACACATGTCATCCTAGCACTTTGGAAGGTGGAGGCAAGAGGACTTCCTGAGCCCATGGGTTTGAGACCAGCCTGGGCAACTTGGCGAGACCTCGTCTCTACAATAAATCAAAAAATTAGCTGGGCGTGGTGGCACATGCCTGTGGTTTCAGCTACTTGGCAAGTGGAGGCGAAAGTTTCGCTTGAGCCCAGCAGGTCAAGGCTGCGGTAGCTGTGAGCATTGCAGCCTGGATGACAGAGGGAGACTCTGACTCAAAAATAAAAATCTGGGGAGTCTCCCTGCTTCTGTCCCTTACTTACCTTGGCTGCCTTCATCACTGCCTCCACACAGCCTCCCCTTCTCTATCCTAGCACCCCGAAAATCCATTTCCATATGAAAGCCAAAGGAACAATTTTAAGAGCTGGCTGTGGTGGGCTCACACTTGTAATCCCAACATTTTGTTGGGGGGGGGGCTGAGGTAAGAGGACCCCTTGAGGCCATTTTGAGACCAGCCTTGACAACATGGCAAGACCCCATTTCTACAAAACTAAAAAAAAATTAGCCGGCCATGGTGGCGCTGTCTGTAATTCCAGCCACCCAGGAGGTGGAGGAAGGAAGATTTCTTGAGTCCAAGAGTTGGATGCTGTAGTGAGCTATGATTGCACTACTGTACTCAAGCCTGGGCAACAGAGTAGGACTCTGTCTCTATTTAAAACAAAAAAAAAAGGAGCCGGGCTCGGTGGCTCAGCCTGTAATCCTGCGCCTTTGGGAGGCTGAGGTGAGTGGATGGCCTGAGCCCGCAGGTTCGAGACCCGC